AAATTATGCGTGCATGAGAAGCTCCATTTTTGTTGGAGATTTTACAGTCAGAGTTCAAATATAATTGTAATCCATAATGGAATTTGTTTATTCTTAAATTACCACAGTCCAAACTCATCCACCGTGGTTCATTTCTTGGATGGGTTCATACATCACTCTAAAACCAAGAGTGCATCTTCACCTTTTTTCCCTTTTTAATAATGGTTTCTCAGTATTTTGCAGCCAATAGGAACAAGGTTTATGTATGCTGTATTTTTTTTCATAGCTCTGGAAAAGTATAGAACGGAATTGGAATTGCCTGAATTCTTGATCATTATGTCTCCATTAAAACACAATTTGTGTAGTTACTCAAATTACAAATATTATATGTGAGAGAACAACAAACTTAGCTAAAATTCTAGAATCAAAGTTTCCATGGTTTGAAAGCAGGGCTTTGTGCTATTCATTTCTTGGGTGCCCCCTCCTATAATGCCAAAATTAAATTATTCAAAAATGTAGATTTAGATAAAACAGTAAGAATTGGTTATGAAAAAATGGAATCATGCATATTTGCTCTATTTACAGAATTTATACTGGGTGCCAGATGTTAATGGCTTAGAACAAAATACATAATGTATAATTGTGCTTTGCACAAGAGTTTTGTAATATCGTTTCCTTCATGTTTTATTAGACGGGGAAAAGGCAGACTATACAATAGAGAACCATTTTCGAAGGAATAGCTGTACAACATCTATTTTATCAAAACAAAGTCTTGTAGCAGCTTAAAGGCTAACAAATACGTTATAGCTTGTTTGTGGAGCAGAAATGTTCCATAAACGTTTGTGCCATAATGTAAGGCATTATTTTCCTCTTCCTGTCTTCCTTTCATGTTCCTTTTAATCTGTAGGTCTGAAGATAAAAAGAGACAAAATATGCATCTAAACAAAAATGTCTGTATGCCACTGAATACCATTTTTGTAATTTATTGATCATAAAGTAGATGTTTTTGTGTACTGGTTCTGCTGAAAAATAATTACTAGTAAAAGGTTTTAAAGGCTTTTGTTTATAGTGCAATTTCAACAATATTTTTAATTTATTTGTAATGCCTTCAAAACTTCCAGCAAGTTTTCAGAATTGGTGACTTTGTTTATATAGGTTGATGGCTACTGCAAAAAAAAAAAAAAAATCTCTTTGATCATCTTGGCATCTCATTTATTTTCATAGGCATTAAAGTACTAGCTTTGCATTTTAAAGGTAATCTTGTGTAACTTGCTTGCATAGCTAGCCTTGTGTTCTTGATTTCTGTTGGCAATAGAAGAACATGTGAAGTCCCAGTATGGCTTCTTCATTGTCTGTGAGTTGGAGCTGGGAAGTTGCTTATTTCCCTCTTTTTCCTTAAAAAAGTTAAGTTCTCTTAATTTACCAGTATGATAGAATTTTGCATAAAGCCAATGTAACAACTGAGTTAGCTCTTATTGTGCTTTCACTTAATGTCAGTCATATAGTACTTGTGACAGAATAAGAATCAATAAACACTCCTTTTTTAATACTTGAATATTTGTATTTTTTTTGTTGAGAGAGATATGTACTGCCTTTCAGAAATAGCAGAAATTAGAAATGTGCTATTGGAGTTTTCTTTATGAAGTGTATGAGAGAGCAAGTCAATGCAATCTTACCATTTCGCTTCTGGGGTGAGAGGTTCTCAGACCTCAAGATTTGCTTAATAATGACTGCCCCCTCCATCCTTACCTGTCTTGTCTTATAGTACACAGCTACCAGAGAGTCCAACATGCATTTCAGGTCACTTTGCTCTCTTTCATTCAAATATAATCCATTATTGCACTTTTATGAAGAACATGAGATTTCCTGAATTGCTAAAACCAGGATGACCTAACCTTTCTATTTCAAGGGATGTAAATTTTTCAAGACAGACCCCATGTGCTCTAATGCCATTTCTAGAACTGACAGGTTGGCTGGCCATCCCTTTTCCACTACAAAATGCAATGCAGTTTTACCTACTGCCACTCATAATAGCAGTCTTAACATTTCCTTCCTAGCTTACTATTTCATCTTCTCCACTTAGAGGCAAAGATGCCTTTTGTTCACTGTATCCAGCCCCACACACACATGCTTTGTATTTTAGTGTACCCTGACCTTGAGAAAACAAGGAATAGTTATGCTGTTATATAAACCACCGTGTTTATTATCATACTTCCCTATAAACTTATAGATGCTTCAGTTCAAATTTGCTTGGAATAAAGCAAAACAACCTTGAGCACTTGAGAAAGGTAGGAAATAAATTTTAAAAATATTAAAATCAGCCTCTTCAGTGGGCCTGCAGGCTACAAATACAGTGTTAGAATCAACTTAAAATTCTCTGTAACAGATAAAATGTCACTCAAGAACATTTTTTTTTTTTTTTTGGTAACATCCAATTTTAAATAGAAAAACTATCCTGATAGTAGGAAGTCTGGTTTGGTTTGATTTGAACGCAGAAACTAATAAAGGAAAGTTTCTTCTCCTCTTTTGACTCCCACTGCTTTTTATCCATACACGAAAAGAATGAATGAGCCTTTTAATTTTCATTATGAAAGGTAACCACAGCTGAAAATTTATTTCAACTAATTATTGTCAAGCAATAAATTAAACATACAATCTAAAAAAACACACATGCATTTTAGACATCCTATATAAAATATACACAATTGGGGTGGGTGTGGTATCAAAAGCTTTGACTGAAGGGTAGGCCAAGCCATGTTCGAAGGGGTGTGCAAACTTCCCATACTGTGCCTGGGGAAGGCAGGACCAGCTGGACACTGCCTGTGAAAACACTCTCATCCATAGGCATGGGGTCTTACCTGAAGTACTATAAATAAGCCAATATTTAAGGAAGTCAAAGATAACTTCAAGGTATACTGTCCCTAGCTATATAGCCATCGAGCAAAACAGACAGAACCATTCTGTTTTGAAAGGCTAGCTTAAGTGTGGGAGATTCAAGTGGCTTATCTTTGGCATAACGTGATGGGTCCAATTTGGGGAATTGGGGGGAATTCAGGGAATTGAGAAAGGCCAGGTCCATTTCATTGAGTCTAGCCTAATTTTGCAAAGGCTGAGATTATACCTCAAGTGAAATGAGGCCTAAATCCCAGTAGGAATTGGTATGCTTTGTTCACACTTCCTACTTAAAATTGGCTTCAGCAGTAAATTGGAGGAGGAGTTTGATCTGAACTGAAGGGTGCACCCCTGCTATCTAGAAAAAAGGAATCTCGCAAGCTGGTATCTCTCTTTGAAGAAGGAAAATAGTTCTTTACATGCCTCTTCTCTTAAGGCTGCTGTAAAGGTCTCAGCTCCTCATGCTATGTAGAATTCCTGGGGAGGGAGGGTGCAGCACGTGTCCTCTTTGAGAACCCACCCGAAGGGTTACTTTACAGTGTCTCTGTGCCTGTGCCATATTAAGGCATGCTAAGGGGCAGAAGCTAGGGGGGAAAGCTGCCATATTTAAATGTCACCTTCAAAGTTACATTTACAGTATCACTGAAGGCTTCATCTGGAACTCATTGGCAGCAGAATTCAGACTTGATTAAAGGAAACATTTCTTGACCTAGTGCTCAGTTTTAGCACTGATTAATCATGGTAACTAATGGCTATACTCTGGCTCCTATACTAGTTAATACAGAAAGATACAAATAATCTTTCAGCCTTTCCCAATCTGATTCTCACCAAATATTCTGACAACAACTTCTATCATCTTTAAAGTTGGCTGTACTGACTGGAGCTTATGAGAGTTGAGCATCTTCAGGAACTCACTGTTGGGGATGGCTGCCTGAAAGTCATCTTTACTCTTGCCCATGCAATAAAATAGCGCCTCCTTCCTTGATGTCTCAATATGCTAAACCTTTTGGCATGCAGGCAGAGATCTGCCTTGTGTTAGGTGAAGAAGAAAAAAACACCTGTGCATTTGTGTCAGAAAAGCTTGTTACTGTCATTCAGATGACACAAAACACTTCCTGCCCAGCAAGAGGAGAAACGGAGCCACGGGCCATTAACTTATGCCTCATCATGCTGTAAGACCAGAGAGGCATCAGTCAGGAACCAAGAACTTGAACCAAGGCATGAATGAAGACCCTGCTTTTATCAGGTCATCCCCAGAAGCAAAGTCTGGGGGTGAAAGCAAGCACTGGCATTTCCCAAATTGTCTCAAAAAAGAATGTGTTCCCTACGCTTCATAAATCCAAATCTTTTTTAAAATTATTATTATTTTAAATCAGTTTCAGCCACATATAGGAAATCTGAAAGTCACTTCATAGTGAACTATCAACTCCTTTCCCTTTCTTTACACAAACCCTCAGCTTAACAAAACAGGTGGCATTTGAATATGTGATAAATTCCAATCAAGAACTCCGAAACCAGGCGCTTTAGTAAAGTAGCTCCACCCCAGGGGTGGAGCAAGCAAATACAAGGTGATCAGATACAGGCACTAGGAGAAGGCACATTCCAAACCAGATTGGATGCAGTGTTTTGGACCTTGCCTAAGCCCAGGACTTCTCGCACATTCATTAAAGCAGCCCTTCGTTCTCACTTCAAGCAAGCCTGATCAAAAGATGCTGCTACTTTTAATAGCTGCTTTATTTAATGCAACTACAGCCCATGCAGAAGCCTGAAAAAAGACAAGGTGCTTTAATAAAAAGCAGAGAGGTGCTCTGCTCACATAAGGTCCAAAACTTTCCTTCCCAATCATTTCTGAAGTGTGCCCAGCCCTAGCAGGCCCTCCACACATACGCACACACTCCAACCTGCTCTCTCCCATATTTGGAGACTGCAGGTTCATGCTGGCTGAAAATTCGGGAACCTATAGTCCAACATATTGGGAAAGATCGGCTCAGATTAACACGACACAGCCTGGGGTTCAACCACAGTGGTGACAGCAACATCTCACACTGCTTTAGAGCATGTGACTTTCTTTCATCTTCTCCCTCCCAAACACCCAAAAACATTATCAGGACTTCAAAACTTCAAGCTTTTTATATTTTTTATATATTTAAAAAATGAGGTAAGACATCTTGCCAAGAAAGGACATGCTGGAACCCACCGCCCCACTAGGTTCCATTCTAGCTGCAAAGTTTGCCTTAATTGCTCTGTCTTTGGTGCATTCCATTTGGCTGTGGGGGGGCAGAGTTCTTTATTGCCTATAGCGATTGCCAATGGGGCTGTAGGATTCTGTTCTTTGACGTCCCTAGCTGCAACCCCCAGAGGCCTACTCTAGCAGGTGGGAGAGGTGGTAATAGGGCTATGCAGATAAGGAAGGCTTCCTGAAGTGGAATGCACTGCCACAGAGACTGGGAAACTGAAAACAAACTGAGATGTAGGGGTGGAGGAGTTCTTCCCCCTTTCTCTTAGTGTTCCCGAGGGGCTTGCAGCCTCCGCAGCACAGGACGTTGTCAGCACCTGGGACTCAAACTGAAGTAGCTGACCCATGAAGCTGAAGTTCGGAGAGATGATGCTCCGACGTTGCTTGACAAACTCAAAGGCCTCCTCCAGCTTGACTCGCTTCTTCATGATCAGGTAAGCCAAACAGATGGTGGCGGATCTGGAGATGCCAGCTTGGCAGTGCACAAGCACCCGTCCATGACACACCTTAACAGCGTCTAGGGGAGCAGAGCAGGAGCATTAGCACATTCAACCCTTAAAATCCAACGCTGACCCCAATTGCGGGGCTGTGAGCCACAATTCCCCAAGCCCTTGGAAATCACGTGCCCCAACTTTATATAGCCACCTCGAGTTGCATGCCAGTTAGGTGCCTATATAAATTGGCCTAATAAAAATAAATAAAAAGCAAGAGAGCGTAATTTAGCTAACATGTTTTACAGTATTTGGAAGGTGTTCCTTAAAGCAAGTATTAATTACACTAAGACAGTGCTTTCAAAATGGGTGAACAAATGACTGGAAGCAGGGGAGACACCACATAAGACTAACAGTAGTTAGGGATGTACACCTTTCCAAAGAAATGTAATAATTTCATAACCATTTTTTGCAAGTCTTAAACAAGTCACTGAATTCAGCTTTTGTTATGTGGAAAGGATTGTGTTAAAAACAAAAACAAAACAAAAACAAAACAGGGCTAAGTATATTCAGATTGCTCATTTACACATCCAATTTCATTTTTTTTATCCTTCAATATTATATCTTTGACACCTCTCAGTTGAATGCAAGCAAAAAATCCCTCAAAAGGTATTTGTGCTAGACCAAATTCCTACCTAGGGCTCATCCACAGAGGTAAACGATTTCTAAATGTGGTTCTAGAGATCAATGTGTGATACATTATATGCATGAAGCGGCCTTAACGACATTGCAATTTTGCATGGATTGTTCATATCACAGGAATGCAGCCAGAATGAATACCTCCCTCATTTGTTTCGGAAAGCAGATCTTTCCAAGAAACTTGGAAAATAGCTTCCTTTACTCAAGCCCAGTTCTGAATCTAATGCAGAAGCTTGTCTGGGCCTCAAGGGATGCTCCTGGTAAAATGCAAGAGTTCTGCCACACTTACCAAGTTAACAAATAAAGCGGAGTGGAGTGGAGAAAAATCTCTCTCTCTCCCCTCTCACATAAAGCACACTGCTACAACTTCAAAGAACTCAAAGCTCCAGGATGTGTATCTATCAGTCCTATTATCAGACGTTAAGAAAGTTGGAGAAACAATTTTTCCCAGAACCACAGCAGAACTTCCAGTGCAAATGAAAGTCTGTAGCTCTTTCCCTACCACCATGCCCAGAAACAGAACTGTTGGGATTTTGTTCTGTTTGCCTAATACAGCAAAGGTACAGAACGGCAGAGAGTCCAGGCTCAAAGAGATCTAACTACCATGGGATAGTAAAGCTGTTGGGAATGTTGCTTTAAAAAAGGAGCATCTTCTTCCACCATATGCAAAGAAAGTATCACAGCCTAAGGCGAAAACAAATGGGGTAAACCAAAATCCTGCTTCCTCAACGAGAAGTTGGACATTCAAATGCTTTCTAGGATCAGAAACGTGGGCTCTGTAGCTCGCATCCAATTGTGGTGGCACTCCATGTTCAAGGAGAGAGCTCTTTTCTGTGGAGATACCCCCATTTATGGAATTCCTCCCCAGCGAGACTTGATTGGTGCACACATTAGCATCATTTTGGCACCAGGTGAAGACCTTTCTATTTTCCAAGACTTTTTAATTGGCTTTCAATTTGTATATTTTTAGATTTTGAATGACTGTCTTGCAGCTGTTTAGTTTTATATGGTGGTTTCTGCATGTGTGTGTATCTGTGTGAGCGTGTGCACTTTTGAGTCAGTCTTGACTCCCGGTGACTGCCTGGACAAGTCCCTGCAATTTTCTTGGCAAGATTTTGGAAGTGGTTTGTCCTTGCCTGCTTTCTAGGGCTGAGAGAGAGTGACTGATCCAAGGTTACCCAGCTGGCTTTGGGCCCAAGGCGAGACTCATGGTCTCCCAGCTTCCACATCTAGTCGGATGCCTTACTCACTACACCAAATGTTGATTTTATTGTATATGTTTTTATATTGTATATGTTTTTTGATTTTATTGTATATGTTTTTATTCAAATTGTATTTTTTAGTCTGTTTTATTGTAAACCACCCGGAGAGCTTTGGCTATTGGGTGGTTTAAATTTTTTAATAAATAAAATCCAATTATCTCCACAAACATGGCATACTTTGCCACTCTCTTACCTATGTATTCAATGGCTTCCATGAACCAGGAGCTGATGTCGGTTTTGTGGTTATCTTCTACTGGAATGCACTTATATTGAAAGTGTCCTTCGAAGTGGTTGGGGCAGTCCGATGAAACGTTTAACAGGGCTGTGATTCCCAAGGCCTCCAACATGTCCCTCCGAGCTGCATGATGAGCACTGCCAAGGAAAAGGAATGGCAAGATTTCCACGGGGCCACCCTATGTTGGTGGGAGGAAGAAACAAGAAAGAGGGAACAACATATGAAACAGGAAGAACACAGGAGCTCCTGAATGACAACAACAGAGTGTGGTCAACGTCCCACTGATTCTTTCAATCAAAGAGGACATCACCCGAATTTCTGTAGGCTACTGTCTAGATCAGTGTTTCTCAACCTTGTCAACTTTATGATGTGTGGACTTCAACTCCCAGAATTCCCCAGCCAGCATTAAAGTTGCTGAGGTTGAGAAACACTGGTCTAGAGTCACGTGGAGTGTCCTCAGCTGGGAAATCAACTTTACTCACTTTGCTAGTCTCATTTTTTAAACATTCAATTGTGCCTTGCTCATCTGTTTCTGTATAGCTTTAGCTTTTCATTATTCCATAATTTAATTTTTTTTAAAATTCTGCTTAGAGAATATTTAAATAGAAGGTTAAACCTGAAGTTCTGCATTAAAGGAACTTGCCCACCATGCTAAGAAAAGATGGATCCTGCAGTTCAAATCTACATTTTGTAGTTCATCCTGAGCAAGAGTCCAGATGCTCTCTGACAGCTCAGAAAATCTTGCCCCAACAGCCAACATTGCTCACCCACTTTATGGCTTCTTTTCTCTAACATCGAGATGCTAAATATTACTCCTGTAACTAAATTATGTTTTGAATGTACAGCCTGCAACATGTTCTTTCCAGCCCTGTTTTAGTCCAAAAATGCAAAGACTGTCACAACACATTTGGTGAAGGTATGCAGTTAAATTACATTTCTAACTGCCAACCATGAACTGCAGAAAGTAGTCCACGGTTCTCCCCGCATTTTTAATATTCAAAATCCCCTCATATTTTAAACTCTCCCCACCCCCTGAACCAAAACTGGGGAGTCAATGGGTTTATATTCTGTATATCATAGTTCAGATGACAGAACAAAAATGGGTAGTAGAGAAAACGCCTCTCCGAATTTTATTTAGAGGTGCCAGCATGCTGAGTCACCATGAACACACAACTTCTAATCAGGTTTTTGGACAGAGAGCGCTGTGAAACATATTCCCAAGACTCCATATCAGTTGCTGACAGCAAAGAAAAAAATGCACGTTTACTGCCACTCTCCAAATAAACTCTCGCACCTACTAGCAACTAACTATGGAATGCACTTTATCACTTCCTTAATCGCAGAGTGCCATTATTCTTTGTACGAAACTCTGCACTTCAGGTTTGGTTCGGTGTGCTAAGCTCAGGCCCACCAAACCAAACCAAGCCCATACAGTGGCCGGACACACCAGCCACTAGGATGGAAAATACCATCAGTGGATTTCTCCACTTGAAGTATTTCCGGATTGAGATCAGTAGAAGATTGTCCTGACCACACAAAAGGAGACCAAGTCTATTATCTCTGGATAACCTGGAACCTGACAACTTCACTTCAGCCTACATGCATTCCAAGGATTAAGTTGTTCTTATTGCCCAATTTCTGATATGTATGCAGTCACGTTGCTTAAGAAGGAATTTCATTGCCTCTTTGTCAGGCACGTTCCTTGATTACAGCAGTATTAATCTCTTCTTGACAAACCCATACATGCATCAACCACAGCTGCAGAGTTAGAACTAAAGTAATTTCATCCCAAAATACATGGATTTGGAGAAGAGTTACCTCCCTCTACTGCCCCAAAAATGGTCCTCTCTCAATACATCCCACTTTTTGGAATTGCAGTAAGAATTCTGTTAGTGAGCCAGTTTGCTAGAACTGAAGCCATCTTAAATCAAAGCAGTCTTACTCTGTTTTTGTTGTTGTCATTGCTGTTAAGTTACTTTATTATGATCAACAGTAAGCACATCTGCATAAATACATATATACACAAGTTGATATAAATTAACATACATTTGTTATATGACTTCTGTGCTGCAGGTTATTTTATCTCAGTTTCACAACTGAATGAAATCACAGAGGGCTCTCCACCTACACCTTCTTTCTTTTCAGTTCTTAGCTTCCTGTATATATGTCTCATCAATTTGGCAAGCCAAAAAGTTGCTTGAAACACAACTGGGTAACATGAAGAGGAGTCTAGAAGAGGCTAATGAGAGAATACCACATCCTTTTAAAAAAATAAACAGCTCAGGAGGGCAAGTTCTACTTCTATTGATTCAATCTCTATCAGCTACAGGACAAATTCTCATGCAATAGAGAATTTTCCTATTTTTCCCAAACAGAACCGCTGAGCACGAGGCACTGTTACCTTGCCAAAGTGAAGAGCCTTCTATAATTTGAAATATATAAATTATCTCCTGGCTTCAGAGAAAAGTAGATGCTATTCAAATACAGTAAATTGGAATCAATGACACAGTCAACTGGTAGTCCATATTTATTTATTTAAGAAATTTATATAGCCGCCCATCCCACAGAATGTGACTCTGGGTGGTGTACGATAAATAAAAACAAGAATCATAAAACACTAAGTAAAAACAAAAAACAAAAATATAAAAACTCAAGACAGCTGGAGAGACAACCATCATTTAACATCCCACAACCATCTTGCTGGCTCACCCTGGGACCCCCAAGGTTGATGGAAAAGCCATATCTTAAGGGCTTCCTGGAAGGCGAGTAGGGATGGGGCCAATCTCACCTCAGGGGGAAATGATGCTCCATAGGGCAGGGGCCACAGCAGAAAAGGCACACTGCCTGGGTTCTGCCAGATGTAACTTCTTAGTAGCTGGGACCCGCAACATACCCCTCTTGCTCAACCTCATGGAACAGGTAGATGTAACCAGGAAGAGATAGTCCCTCAAATAACCTAGTCCCATGCCATGTAGGGCTTTAAAGGTCAAAATCAGCACTTTGAATTGCACCCAGAAACAAACTGGCAACCAATGCAGCTCGTGGAACAGAGACATAACTTGTGCCACCCTAGGGGCGCACATAACTGTCCACACAGCTGCATTCTGCACCAGCTGAAGCTTCTGGAAACTCTTCAAGGGCAGCCCCATGTAGAGCACATTACAGTAATCCATTCTGGAGGTGACCACAGTGTGAGTAACTGTGAATAGAGCCCCATGGTTCAGGAAAGGGTGCAGCTAGTGCACAACACAAAGTTGTGCAAAGGCCCTTCTAGCCACAACTGCCACCTGCTCCTCGAGCAGGAGTCACAAGTCTGGGCAGTGCCACCCCATCCAATACCAAAGATGGTAAAATCCCAGATCCAGAAGGCCCAAAAACCCAGAGCCACTCAGTCTTGCCAGAGTTCAGTTGAAGCCTGTTGTTCCCCATCCAGACCACTACAGCCTCCAGGCACCAGGACAGGACCTCAACAGCATCGCTTAATTCGCCCAGGGCAGAGATATATAACTGGGTATCATCAGCATACTGATGATACGTCACCCCATGGTGACGGATGATCTCACACAATGGCTTCATGTAGATGTTAAATAGGAGTGGAGAGAGGACTGAACCCTGCGGAACCCCACAAAGTAGGGGCCAAGGGCAGGGCCTCTCGCTCCTAATCAACACCTACTGGTACCAGCCCTGCAGAAAGGAAGCAAACCAACACAATACTGTTTCACCTACTCCCAACCCACGGACCCAATCCAAAAGGATACCATGATCGATAGTGTCAAAGGCTGCTAAGAGGTAAAGAACAGCAAGGACACATGACAACCCCTGTCCCACTGCCGCCAGAGAGCATCCAAAAGTGTGACCAATGCCAGTCTCTGTCCCATACCTAGGTGTGAATCCTGACTGAAAGGGGTCCAGATAACCTGCTTCATCCAGGGCCCAGTGAAGCTGCTGCACAACCACCTTCTCCACAACCTTCCCCCAAAAGGGAAGCTTAGACACCAGGCAAAAATTGTCCAGTACAGTCAGATCCAGCGATGGCTTCTTGAGGAGGGGGTCCCTAGGACCCTGCCCACTTCCTCAGGTCCAACAGGATCAAATCCCTCCCAGATAACAGGGCAAGACTGTCCTGTGCACCTCTACTGGACCTGTATTAAAGCTGGAGTCCAACTTGGAACAAATCCAAACAATTTTATCTGTCAGACGCTCTGCAAATTCTTCCATGTAGCCTTGCAGGTAAACCTCCTTTTTTCCCAGGAGGGCTTGTGTCACCTTAAACAAGGCTACCATTGCTTTACACAGAAAAATACTGTCTTGATTTTAGGATTTTACAACTATATGAAACATTTTTTGCTTTTGATGCTGTTCTGATAACATATGACTCACCACTGAGCACAACTAAGTTATACTCAAGAGGAGAACCCCCATGTATACCAACAGAGGGATACGGATGTCATGAATACATAAAAGGAAGTGTTTTGCTTCGGACAGCAGAAGCTTTGAAGTGCAGAGAAGCAAGCCTACCTGATCATGCTGGGGTGTCCCACAGGAACTGCAGCTGTGGTCCAGATGCTCCACAGGCGCCAGAGTAGAGGCTGCTGTAGGAGATTTTGTCTTTGTGCAGAATTCTGGATATTCTGACTGGAATCTTTCATAGCCACCTGAAAGTAAATAAGATACTGCAAAACATCCCATTTCAAAGTTGTGGTCGTGACTTACAAGATGCTACAGCTTTTTTCAACTATTATCAATACACAAGTAGAGACAGAGGACAGCCCACCTCCAACATGCATATCTTTCATAGCCACCTGAAAGTAAATAAGATACTGCAAAACATCCCATTTCAAAGTTGTGGTCGTGACTTACAAGATGCTACAGCTTTTTTCAACTATTATCAATACACAAGTAGAGACAGAGGACAGCCCACCTCCAACATGCATGAATGTTTAGGGCAAAGGCCCTTCACACTTACATGCTAAGTGCCCATCGACACAGATGTTTGCTTGGAAGCAGTGGGAGAGATGATGCCTCAACACAGTT